TCATACACTATATTACAGAACATTCTAGAATCCAAATTAATGAAGAAAGCCCATAAACACTGATAAAACATTTAGGAGAAACAACAGTTTATCAATACTCATGCAGAATGTCTGGTGAAACTTATACAAAACATGTAGTTTACACATCAGATCTACACATTTAGAGACAATAGGGCTGATCTATTTAAATCATGCTAGAATCCAAATACTGGAGATATGTTGAAACAAGTGTTATGTGATAGATAACCTATGCAGTGGAATACGAAGAGCCTACTCTAGGAAACCTTAGAAATAGTAAATCAAGCATTTCCTCCCTGAAATTACAGTACTTATGAATATATTCAAAAACACTACATGAAAACAATAAAGTCAACCCAGCTATTAGGAGTCAATTGGACCTTCTCAGTGTTAGCTCTGTATAGGGAGTTGACACACTCACCTTTTAAGGGATATTTTTAGTTACTCCTGATGTAGTAGGAAAACACATACATATACTGCCTTGTTCCAGAAAGAATTCAGGTAGTTTAAAAGACAGATTCATAAAATACTAGAAAGCCCAGATTACAGGTTAAGTGACACACACAAAAAAATAACAAAATTAATAAAGGTTGGGAATAAGTTAAAGTATTATTACATTATTCCGTCACACTGATCTTCTAGAAACATTGCAAAATACGGCATTCACATGTAATTTGTTAAATTAGACCTGATGGAAGAGAAGACTATAAAAATAAGAATGTGTGCTTTTCTTTGTGCTTCAGTGAAATAAGTTTTTCTAGATGTCATGATGTGTGACTCTAAATTTAAGTCTCTTAACTACTGGCATAGGAAGGCAGTTACCTCTAGGTAACAAACACACACTAGGAATCCTGACTGAAAAACAATCAAGGGGACACCTCTGATGACAAGAAAATGAAGGCAGGCGTGGCCACATTACAGCTGCCCGGAGTATTGACAGAGCATCAATTCTCGAGTTTTCTGACTGAATCACTTCCTCCAGCTCACCACAGTTAAGGTACACATGGAGAAGGCACACTAACCTGTTGAATATGCACTCCCCTCTGCCACCCCGAGAGCAGCATGGGGCTCTGGTCTGTTCAGTCTACATATGAGATCTCACCTCACCCCTGGAGAGACAGGGAAATCATAAAGAGAAGGTGGGCAGTTTTTAACAGCGTTAGGGAAATATGACTGAGTCTCATAGCTCTATTCTCATAGTCTGTCTTTCAACAAAAGATGTAATGAGTGAGGTTGTATGGTGAGAAGAACTGCAGAAAGTGGGGACGAAGACAAGAATTTGAGGAAAATGAAGGGATGAAATATAGGCAGTTAAGATCTTCCCCTTTGAAGTGTGGCACCAGCATGAGTTGCAAAATTTAAAGAGTTAAGACTTGAGAAAAATGTCAATCTGAAGATATAAACTACGTCTTGTCACCTATTCTTTTGAGGATGAATGGTCCCAAGAAACCCTCCATATTTCTGTCAGGTAGGGAAGGAATGGCGTTCAGCGGGGACCCCAGTGCTCTTGGCTGGGGTGGTCCTGTGTTTGCTGAGGCGTGGGGGGGGGGGTGAGGACTGCTGTTCTCTCAATGATAACCTTCAGAATATCAGCAGGACCTACTTCTCCATTAGGCATAGCAGGCAGCACGCCCCAGGCCCATGAAAATGTTTCACTTTCTTTTAAAAGCAAAGAAAAAGATCTATTTTTAGGCTTAAGAAAATATTTTAACATATAACACTAATATATTCTTTTTATTATAACACAGAGCCCATAAGCAAAAGTGTGTAAGTAAACCAACCAAATCAAACCTTTCAAGTTGGACTTACCCACAGAGTTTGCACACCGCCACATCTTTCTCCTGTTGAGTGGCTGCTCCGTTTGAACCACTGACCTTTAGGTTAGCAGCTGAGGGCTTAACCATGGAGCCATTTGAGTTCCTTGCTAAAAGTGCCTACAACCCATGAAAACCCAGACTACATGGCCAAACCATTTGAATAAAAGGGAAACGGAAAACCACTTAAGAACAGAGAATGGTTTGAATGCTAAAATAATGGGAGAATGAAAAATTGATTTTATTGATCGTCACGCCAAATAGCAGCAGCAAAAATCTTAAGCTAATTTTTTTCTAGTCATTGTGAAAGAAATCAGGATAAAGGGACTTGGATGTTTTCAAAGTCCTATTTCAACTTCTGTGCACAGAGGGAATCCTGGTGTGGCACTGTAGGATAACTCACTGGACCTCAAGGTCAGTTTGAACTGCAAGGTTGGCGGTTCAAACTCACCAGCCTCTCCTCGGAAACCCTATACAGGGTCACTATAAGTCGGGACTAACTTGATGGCACTTAAAAACAACAATCGTTGTAAGAGCAGACTGCAAGGTAAATACTTCTGCAGAGTGACTGGTGGGTTCGAACTGTCAACCTTTCGGTTAGCAGCTGAATTACTATTGCAGTACACATTAGCCCACTGCCATCGAGGGTGTTCTGACTGATAACGATCGTATACAGGGTTTCCAAGACTAAATCTTTACGGGGTAAAAAGCCTCACCTTTCTCTCTTAGGAAGGAACACTAAAATAGGTCTGTCCCCTGGACTAGAGGTGAGGAGTCTGAGGTCCAGGTGGGTTATGTGACTTGGTCACTGCCACAGAGTCAAAGCAGTAACAGACTACAAGAAACGTGGTACTCAGGTGTCCTGATGACTAGACTAGAGCTCTTACATTATACCCCTGAGTGCCCAGTGCCACTGCTTTAGAAACAGCTTCACTGTTTATCCTAAAGGAACACAGAGAAATGGAAAGTATTAGCAATTTTATTTAAAACTGTGTCTTTGGGAATGATAATGTCTCAAAATTTGAAGTTCCAGGTAAGACTGACTAAAATTAGAATGAGCCTCAAGATTTCAGACCCAAACGGATACTGGAAAGTTCATTTAGACCTCTGTCCAGAGAAGGTAAATTGTATTTCCCAAAATCATGGGACTGGGACACAACTAACCCTTTCTATACAGCTATATTCTTTTTTGGCTACTGGTTAAAATACAAAAAGTAAAAATACAGAATCATACCCAGTTTGGATATATATCCAAACTGGGTATGATTAGAAAAAAGGATTATAAATCATTTATATCTGGTTAACAGAAATAAACAAAAATCTACAAAACTTTAATAAATCAGGTAGTATGGCTGCTTACTTTAGGTAAAAAATCACCTATACGAGACCAAATGATCAACAACTATTTTTAAATAAAGATGGAATAGAATGTAAGGGGACATAGAAACTGGATTAATGGAAATGAACAACCAGAACAGACATAGTGAGAATGTTTATGCATTGTGAAGAAATGTAATTGATATTACTGAACAACTCACATAGAAACTGTTGAATGGGAAACTAAAATGCTGTAAAATGAAAACTTAATAAAAAAATATGGCATTGTAGTATAAGCTCTGGACTGCTAATTGCAAGGTCAGTGTTCAAACCCACCAGCTGCTCCTCAGAAACTGTAGCAGGGTCACTATGAATTGGAATTGACTTGATGGCACACAACATTAAAAAAAACAACTACCTAAAGGTAAATCAAAGGAGCTCTCGTAGCATAGTGGTTACGAATTGGGCTGTGAACCTTAAGGTCAGCGGTTTGAAACTACCAGTCGCTCCGCGGGAGAAAGATGAGGCTTTCTACTCCCGTAAAGATTTACACCCTCGGAAACCCTGTACTGGGTCGCTATGGGTCGGACCCGACTCGATGGCATTTAACAACAACAACAACAACAAAGGTAAATCATAATTTTGAGTTTTATTGTTTGAAGATAATGCAAAACCTTGCAGCGTTTCAGGGTTATGATCCTTAATAAAATTCTAAATGTTTGTAATTCTTTAGAGATCAGGAGTTGGAAAATAAAAACCAATACCTAGTCGTTGAGGAGCCTAGTGGCACTGTGGGTTAAACACGGGGCTGTTAACTGAAAGGCTGGCTGGCAGTTCAAACCCACCAATGACTGTGGGAGAAAGATGAGGCTGTCTGTTCCTGTGAAGATTCAGTCTCGGAAACATCCAGAAGCAGTTCTTCTCTGTCCTACAGAGATGTTGAGTCAGAATCGACTCCTTGGCAGTCAGTGAGCTTGCCTTTTGTATGACCCATAAGTTAAGAATGGTTTTTACCGCTGTAGAGTTATAAAAGGGCGCAGAAGACTATCTGATGGAACCCGCACGTGGCCTGCAAGCCTACATTATAAATCTGTTTTTTCCCATAACATGTTTGAAGACCTCTGTTCTAGATACAGAAAGTTTGTCCTTGAAGGTGTTTTTGTTTTTAAAATTAAAACACTGATTTATTCAAGTACTGGGGGAAGGGCAGGAGACATATCACTGTACCATATTTATGTAAGTGAATCTATAAAAAATGTTACACACATTTTTTAGAAAATGCATATCCTGTAGTATTGTTACAAATAAAATGGAAGCAAAAATTGGAACTTAATTCTTTCTTTGGACCTTTCCTTTCTATTCTTTTAAGATTTCTCCTCATCCCTTGCTCACTTCCTCAGATTATATTGTTAAGATTTACTAAATTAGTAGTTCTCAATTATTTTCAGCTCTAATCATTTCAGTGACCACTCATCCACCCCCGATTTATAGCCATCAACAACCTCACCAGAACAAATGGAATCAACGGGAAAGTGCTTCTAGATGAGATGTGAGGCACTCAGAGTAGGCTATAATAAAAGGGAGATTCAGGGAAGACAAAAATCACAGACACATTCCACTTATCAATCAAAACATAACATTGGGTGGATCCTTTGTAAATTTTTCGGTTAATGTACTTATTGTATCCTACGTGTTACTTGAATGGTAGGACTGAACACTGGGACATACCCTGACAATCACTTTATGAAAACAATGCCCTATTTCTTTCTTTTCACAAGACATATGAGGTTAAGATTAGATTTTTTGGACTACAGAAAAAATTACCACTGTTGTGCCACGGTTAGCTAAATGACAATAATTTCAAGGTTATAACTTTGAAACAGGATGTATCATTTAGTCAAGACTGAAATGATTACATTAACAATTCCTCTGAACTCATACTACAGTTCTCTTCAGCTGCTCCATTCTCTTGCTTGCTTTTGTAATTGGAAAGGAACAAATTTTCTATTTGAGTCAAGAATTCTTCAGCAATGAAGCAATTGGTCACTTTGCTCAGAGTTTTCCTCAGACACTCCAAAAGCTAATGAAACAAAAAATGTATATATAAAGACACAGTTTAAGACGGTTTACATTATGCTTACTATTTCGCGCGCTCCAAAGCTCACATTTCCTAATGCGACAATGAAAATATTTTCCTTCAATGCGGCTGAAGATTGATTACCTTATGCTTTCTAACTGTATGAAGGGAGCTTTAAAAGGCTCAAGGAAGAATTCCATTTCCCACAAACTTCTGAAAGCACCTTGTTTAACGGGTGTGTTGGAAACTACTGCTGAGCAATGACTAGATTAGCTCGAACCTTCAGGATCTTACAAAATGAGACAAAACTGAGATCGCAGAAATGGCACTTTCTAATTTTGACAAACTGGGGAACTTTGCCCCATGCTTTTTTGGTAGTTATAATTTTACAAAGCAGGATAATCCTACAGGATAAAAACCTATGTCGTGCAAACACAGGACTCTACCACTTCAAAACTAGGATGCTAGAGTCTATTTTTGGAGAAATGTGCAAATTAATCTAACAGCACACAGAAATAAATGGATATTAAAAGACTAGGGTAAAACAATGTGAAACAGAATCTTAGTAGGCTTAGGTTTTCTATTTATAAGTTGCTACCAAAAACCTACCACCACCACCACAAATAGTTGCTCATTATAGAAGCAAAACTAGGCGTGAAATAATAAAAAACCTGCTCTTCCTACCAGAACATTAAATAACATAAAATGACCATTTAAATTTAATTGCTAAATTTATACCTTCTTAAAATGATCAATTGTTAAGGTAAAAATGGAAATATGGTGCTTTTAAATTTCATAAAATGTTCTCCATTGTGTACAATAATAATCTGCTAAGAAATTCATCAACCAACACTGACAAATGTATTCTAAAGTATTATTATTTCTATATACAAGCATGGGCAACAAAACACGCTGCTAATTGTCTCATAGAAATTAATTTTGGAAAGGAAAAGCAGTAACAGATATATACAGAAAAATGTATCCACCAAGCATGAGGCATCATGGGAAAACACATCCAGATGAATAGCTTTAGAATTTGTGAACAATGGAACCAATTAAAATGAAGTCAGCTTACTTTTTGCAAACAAGTCAGGTCAGAATCCCGGTGAAAGATTTTATCCATGGGGACACTACTGTAAAAAGAAATGTGGAAAAAGAAACAAATAAAACAAGCTCCAATGAAATAAATTATATAAATGAATCCGTTTCTAATAAACTATCACTGATGCCATATATCACAATTTTATTTTTAATTTTGGTCTTCTCTAAAACATTATTTAATGAGAAACTCTGCAGATGTGCAACCATTTCAAACCACAGCACATACCTATGGGAGAGCCTGTATTTTCCTATTATCCATTTTGTCTTTTCAAATACTAGTCCCCATCGAGGTTCTTCTAACATCTGTTGTACTTCAAATTTGTAAGGTAAACCTAGAAAAGCATAAAGAAGCAAATTTTCATCACCTACCTCCAATCTCCATTTAATTACTTAAAATTCCCATCAGTGTTTTCCTAAGCACAGCTTGTTAGACCAGCTGAACAGCACTTTAAACATACTGGGCGTTCATTAAATATTTATTGCCTGACTGAACTTGGCCCCCAAGCATATTAATGCTAAGCTATTAATAATAATAAGGTAAGTAAAAGTGCCATTTGCAAAGCACTATGAGAGAGAGGATAGTAACAAATATAATTAATTTTGGAAAAGAATAATCCTTTTTAGGAGGATGTCTACAATCCAAGAGACTTTTACAGCAAAAGGGGCTACTATTAATAATTAATGCCAGAATGCAATCAAGACTGTGCTACATTAGTCAGGATCCTAGTGATAAACTGTTTTATACAGGTTAAGCTTATAGCAACGATGTGGAGTTGTTGTTAGTTGGTGTCCAGCTGGTTCTGACTCATAAGGACCCTATGCACAACAGAAGAAAATACTGCCTGGACCAGCGTCATCCTCACAACTGCTTTTACGTTTCAGCTCCTGGCTGCTGCCACTATGCCAATCCATCGTGTTGGGGGTCTTCCTCTTTTTTGCTGACCCTCCACTTAAATAAGCATGATGTCCTTTTTCAAGGACAGGTCCCACCTGATAATATGTCCAAAATACGAGCAATAAAGTCTCATCATCATGGCTTCCAAGGAGCATTCTGACTTCCTCCAACACAGATTTGTTTTTCTGGCAGTTCATGGAACATTTAGTATTCTTGTCCAACACCGTAACTCAAATACATGAATTCTTCCATGATTTTCCTTATTCACTGTCCAACTTTCACATGTATATGATGTTATTAAAAATTACATTACTTGGTTCAAGCAAACCTGAGTCTTCAAACTGACATCTTTGTTCTGTAACATTATAGAGGTTTTGTGCAACAGATACGCCTAACAAAGTATGTCATTTGATTTATGTCTTGACTACTGCTTCCATGAGTATTGATAGTGGATCCAAGCAAAATGAAGTCTTTGAGAACTTCAATCTTATCTCCATTTGCCATGATTATTTATTGGCCCAGTGGTGAGGATTTTTGTTTTCTTTACATTGAGGTGTACCCATACGGAAGTCTGTGATCTTTGATCTTCATCAGCAAGTATTTTAAGTCCTCTTTGCTTTCAGCAAACAAGGTTGTATCACCTGCATATCACATGAAGGTTGTTAATGAGTCTTCTCCCAATCCTGATGCCATGTTCCTCTTCATATGATCCAGCTATTCTGGTTATCTGTTCAGCAAACAGACTAAGTATGGTGAATGAATACAACCCTGGTGCACACATCTCCGAATTTTAAACCATTCAGTATTCCCATATTCTGTTCTACCAAAACCACCAAAACTTATATTACAGTGATTTTTCCCTTTGTGGGTTTTGCAATTTCTCTACCAAGCTTTGGTGTTTGAAGATGACGTTTTAAAAACTGGATTTAGCTACCTGAAAACTGAAGGCACAGAATTGCCAGGAGCCTGTGGTAGCTTGGAAGGACCTCACTTAGTCATGACTGTCTGTTTAACGTTTCTTTTTTAGGAAAAGGCCTTTTTCAGAAGATGTCTTAATGTATAAACCTTTTGTTACTTTGGAATGCTTTTCAAATCCAGAGCTATGGGAAAAGTTAGGCACAATCTAAGCGTACATTGTGTATCAACCACAAGGGCTCTAGATCTTGATAGTGACTGTTGCTAACCCAAATATTGCCACTGGTCAAAGGATACCCATTTATAATTATTATTCCAAACATACTGAAGCACTTGGAAATTTTTGCTGCAGCCATTGTGTCTTTGACTACAAAAGGTGATAGATGCATGTGCCATTATTTATTATATATGTTTCATTTGAAAACTAGCTAAAACGTACTTTGCCTATTCTTGACAGAAGTTATAAGAAATAGCTAAACAATTAAAACAAAAAGTTAAGTTAGCTAAGCACTGATTTGCCAAAGGACTGATTTTTGAAATCATTTGCCAGGGGGTAAAAAACCTCACCAAAGCCAACAATGGTTAATTGTTCATGCTTTGGTTCCAACAGAGTAGGAGCTCAATAATAGACAGATAAAAAGAATGAGTGACTGTATATATCTGAAGATAAGAGCTAAATTTTGGATTATTGTTAGGTACTGTTGAGTTGGTTCTGCCCAATAACGACTATTTATACAACAGAATGAACCACCACTCGGTCATGCACCATTTTCACAATTTCTGGTACGCTTGAACCCTTTGCTGCCACCACTGTGCCAATTCACCTCATTGTGGCTCTTTATGATAATATGTCCAAAGTACGAGAGACGAAGTTTGGCCATCTTGGCTTCTAAGGAACATTCTGGTTGTACTTCCAATGCAGATTTGTTGTTCTTCTGGTGGTCCAGAATACTTACTATGCTTGTCCAACATCATAACTCAAATGCATCAATTCTTCCATGGTCTGTCTTCCTTATTCACTGCCCCAACTTTCACATTCACATGAAGTTATAAAAAATATTACTGCTTGAGTCAGGCGCGCGTTAGTCCTCAAACTGACATCTTTGGTCATGAATACTTTCAAGAGATCTTGTGCAGATTTGCCTAAAGCAATATGTCATTTGATTTCTTCACTGCTGCTTCCTTGTGCTGATTGCTGATCCACGCAAAATGAAGTCTTTGACAGCTTCGATTTCTTCTCTACTTATCATGATGACTCCTTTATACGACTATGTTAGTGCCGTTGATTCGGTTTAACTCATAGCAACCCGTATAGAATTTCCAAGGAGCAGCTGGTGGGTTTGAACTGTCGACCTTGTGGCTTGCAGTCCAGTGCTGATCCTACAGTGCCATACCAGGAATCAATCTAAAACACAGTTACGGCGACTAGGTAGCTAAATTTACTTTAAACCGTTTTATGGGGGCATAGTTGACATATTAGTAAACTATACATTTAAATGTACAACTTGTTAAGTTCTGATGTATGTACATCCCCTGTTGGGAGTCCTGGTGTGGTACTTTTAGCTGTATCCTCTGTTATTAAACAGGTGCTGTGTTGAGGTGGTACTATGGGGGAAGGTAGTGCTCTATAATCTAAGATTGTTGTTGTGAAGTGCCGTCGAGTCGGTTCCGACACACAGCGACCCTGTATAGGGTTTCTAAGGAGCAGCTGGTGAGTTTGAACTGCCAACCTTGCAGTTCTAACGGCTTTGCAGTCTGGTGCATTAACCCACAGCACCATACCAGGACTCCAATCTAAGTTTAGGTCTCTGATTTTTAGTGGGCCAGGATCTGTTGGTTGTGACCTTTGTAAGTGCTTTACAGTTTCCTTGCACTATGGGCTAATGCACTGGACTGCAAGGTCAGTTTGAACTCCAAGGTTGGTGGTTCAAATTCACCAGCTGCTCCTCGGAAGCTCTATATAGGGGTATTTTCTGAGTCATGGCATGTAGTAACAACTCACTTCGGCAATACTATATTTTAGAGTCCTGGTGTGGCACTGTGGGTTAATGTGCCAGACTGCAAAGCCATTTGAACTGCAAGGTTGGAGGTTCAAGCTCACCAGCTGCCCCTTGGAAACCCTATACAGGGTCGTTAAGGGTTGGAGCTGACTCGATGGCACTTATCACCACCACCTCCTTGGGTGAGATAGGAAAGACAGATGGAGCTGGAGTCTGGTATTTCCTTCATTCCTATCAGTTAGGCTCTGGTAGTATCCCTTGAAGGCAGAACAGAACAGAATAAGTGCTGGGTACATTTCAAATCTCTAAGCCTATTTCAAATCATCAAAGTGTGGGATCCCTTAAAGCCAGGAGCTTTTAATTCCTAAGCTAGTTGATAATCAGCCTCCAGTAAAAGTCATTAGTTACAGTTTACTTTTTGCTGACAGTTCCTGCTCGTAACTCCTGCTCTCAGCAAGCTGTGATTCTCTGTATTATCCCTCTGGTTTTGGGCAAGGGAGGGTTGGTCTGTCCAATTTTTTAAATCTAATACATGTTGCTGATTTGAGGTTTATCTGGCTTTTTTCTTGTCATGAGGAGGATGACTTCCATGCTCTCCACATCTCTACTTAATGTTCCCAACATATGGAATACAGTTATAACAAGTATTCTCTAATAGTCTCATCTGCTAAATAAAACATCCGTGAAAGTTCTGCGTTGGTTTTGATTTTTCTCCTTATTATAACTTTTGAATGGATTTGAGACCTTAGAATTTATTTACTGAGTGCTAGATATTTATGCATTTCTATAAATATTCTTGAGCTTTACTGAGAGTTAAATTACTTGGGAACAGTTTGATCTTTTGGGTCTTGTATTTAAGATCTGTTCGACAGGACCAGAGCTGTGTTTATTTTAGGATTAATTATTTCCCTGCTGAGGCAAGCCACTTTTGTGTACTATACTTAAGTTCCATGCATTATGAGGTTTTCCAGATTGGCTGATACTTCTTGGCCCCACGTGCTGTTTCCTCTAATCCTAAATGGTACTTTCCTCTGCCTCAGTATTTTTTTCACATGCATGCATTGGTCTGTATTTTGTTTAATACTCAAGGGGTACTATCTACAGTCTACAAAACTCTAGAATTCACTTTCTAAGAGGCTCTTTTATCCTCTGGTTTTCTGTCCTGTGAACTCACCCTGCCTTGGGTCTCCCTCTCCCTGGATTCTCAGCTTTGTCACCTTAACTCAGGGAGTCTGACAGCCTCTGGCTGGTTTTCTTCTTGTGTCATAGCTAGAAATTTTCTTAGTAAACTAGGAAAATTGTATGCTTCCTTTATTTATTTGCTTCTCAAGGATCATGTACATTTGCTACCTTAATGCTATGTCCTAATTACCACTATTTTACAGACTTTGAACAGTTTTTTTTGTTGTTGTTGTTGTTTCAGGGAGTGCCCTGCTACTGCATTTTGGCAAGAAGTGAAATTTCAAATTTATTTTTAATTAGTTTAAATTTAAATAACTAGTTATTAGTTAATAGCTGGGGT